AAATATATATTTTTTTTTTTTTTTTTTTTTTTTTTTGCTAGGACAACTACAGTGGCCTCCACTCTGGCCTGCTACAGTCTTTTACACTGCAGCTTAGTGTCTCTCTCAATGTACCTCTGTACACATTATTCCTGTCTTGTTGACAATCTTTGGATGACAACCTACTTTAAAATTCACACCCAAACCCCTGTGCCATATAGTCACTGCCTCCCTTTCTTGGGCTCAGAGAGGATCCTTCCAGTCTTATGTCTATACTTCCACATGGCTGTAATGAAAAGACTTCAAGTTCCTTGAATGCAACTGCTCCGTCCTTCTGCCAGGCCTTTACCCAGGCTGTTCTTTCTACTTGAGTGCTCTTCCCATTTGCTCAGCTCCTGTCACCTAACTCTTACTCAGACTTTTGGTCACACCTGAAATGATGCTTCCTCAGGGAAGCTTTTCTCAGTCATTTGTTGGGTGCCCCTCCTAGAATGGCACATCCTCTTGGCTTCCCTTCATCATAATGCTCTTTTTACTTTCCTGGCCACAAGATTAGGAGACTATGCCATATTCATCTCTGGACCTGCAGAGCCCAGCACAGAGCTTCTTACACATTAGGTGTTCAATAAATTCTTGCTGAATTAATGAATAAAAGTTCCTTAAGTCTTAGGGATTTCATAATGTTCTCCTTTTCAACTGCTGCAGATCCTGGCTATACTTAGTTGACTGCTGGTGCTACACAGTTAGAGTACCAGGCGCCCTTTGTCCCAACTAGACATCTTTCTCTTCCCCCAAACAGCAGCTGCTGACCTCACTCTGGAGTCCTTCACCCTAAACTTCACTATCACGAACATGCACTACACAGAGGACATGGGGTATCCAGCTTCCTTGAAGTTCAACTCCACTGAGAAGATCTTACAGCACTGGGTGAGAACCCCTTGATGACCACCGTCAGCCCCACTTCATGCCTTTCCATGCAGCCCCTCAGGCCTTCTGCTCACCTCCACTTTTTTCCCTTTAGCTCCAGCTCTTGCTCAGTAAGACCAGTGTTGGCCTCCTCTACTCTGGCTGCAGATTGGCCTCGCTTAGGTGAGACTTTCAGATAGTGATTCATCAGGTCAAATAGACCCTCGTGCTAGCAGAACTCAATTCTTGGGCATGTTCCTAGCACCACTAGCTTCCAGCACCCACCATGATCCTTCAAGCCTTCTTTATGTCCAGAGGTGGTACGAATGCTCAAGGCTTAGAAAAGGGTCATCACGTTTATAGTTTATGTTATTCAGACACTATTTTATTTTAAATAAAGCCTCTCCTATTAGAAGAACTGCATCTTGTCTGAAAATTCTAATTAAAGTGTTTACTGTCTCTAATTGTGATGGGGTCTTGGATAAGAGACATTTGGGGGAGCCACCCCCCAAGGCCTTGGAGTTACCCTTTCAGCATTCTCTAAGCCTCCTCACTTCCACTTTCTTGCTTTCCACACCCAGAAGGACCCTCTTCAGTATTCCACATCCTAGTGTTCTTTCTTCCCCAGGCTTGAGAATCATGGAGCAGCCACTGGAGTGGACATTATCTGCACCTTCCACTCTGACCTCACAGGCCCAAGGCTGGACAGAGAGCGGCTCTACTGGGAGCTGAGCCATGAGACTCATGGTATCACCCAGCTGGGTTCTTTCACCCTGGATAGGGACAGCCTTCACATCAATGGTGAGGGGCTTAGCTAAAGCTGTGACCTTTCTCCCAGCAAGGGTTTTGTGTTGCCTCTGTTTCTCTAAAGTGAGTTCGATCCATCTTTTTCTCCTTCTGGTTTGTGTTCAATTTTCCTTATGATTAAGTAATCACTGGGTTCAGTCTCATTGCCTAGTTGCTCCCTCCTTGAACATTTCTCCACTGCCTATTCTCTCTACCTTTCTCTCAAAAATCTCTAAATCCTCCCTTTCCCTTAATCCTTTCTGTTCACCCCAACTCTTGTTCAGTTTCTTTCACCTTCTCACTGCAGGTTACACCTATGGAGCCACAGTCTTGACTACCACCAGTGAGTATTCTTGCTCCCAAATTCCTGGGTCTTGTCTCCACTGTAGTATTGGAGAGCAGTTGTTCTCCTTAATCTTCTGTCCTTGGTGCAGGAAACACCTGGAATGTCCCCTAAATCATCCCTTCTCTTTTTCCTGGGGTTCTGGAGGAGAGTTCCAGCCAAGGGTGAGAAAATCTTAGACACAGATATGTTTTTTCACCTCATTCTGACCATCACGTGGTTTTCATTTTAATTTTTTTAATCCTTTTTAAAAATCTCTGCTTATTATTCTGAGAGTTTTTCAACATCAATATTATACTTTTTTTTTTTTTTTAATTTTTCGGTGAACATTTACTTCAACTGACTACCTTCCAGGCACCAAATTACATATTGTATTAGTCAGATCAGGCTGCTGTAACAAAAATCCATAGACTGGGTGGCTCGAATCATAAAATTATTTTCTCACAGTCCTAGAGGCTGGAAGTCCAATATCAAGGTGCAGGCAGGGTTGGTTTCCTCTGAGGTTTCTCTCCTTGGCTTGCAAATGGCTTCTCTCTTGCTGTCTTTTCACATGGTCATCCCTCTGCACACACATGCCTGGCATCTCTCCATGTGTTTTAATTTTTTCTTATAAGGACATCGGTCAGATTAGAGGAACCCCCCCACCTCTATCAGTTTTAACTTAATTATCTCTTTAAAGGCCCTATCTTCAAATATAGTCATTTACTGAGGCAATAGTTATTAGGATTATAACATTTGAATTTTTTGGAGGATACAGTTCATCTCAAAATACATGCACTCTGTTCTTTAATTCTCACTACTACCATGGGACTCAGCTCCATTTTACAGATCAGAAAACTCAGGCTAAGAGAGGGCTTCCAACCTACACAGCAAATAAATAATAGAACTCAGATTTACTGTAGCTCTAAAACTTATGCCCTAACTCTCTATCATGAGTTAATCTATTCCAAAAGTCATATTTATTTTTGGTGCACACCAATTATGTTTGAGTTTATGGTCCAAATTTCCTTTGCATCTGAAGCACTGCAATAGAAACTATGTAGGTTTTTCAAGAATTAATTGCCCTTGAATTAAGGGTGTGTTTTCTCAAATGGTTCTTATGTCCATCACTGGTCTTTTACACCAAAGTGTCTTCTTTCACCTTTTCTATCCATGGCAGTGTTCTGGGCTCCTGAGGTTCAATAACAACACTATTTTCTCAAATGATATTAGAAAAATAAGTTAAAGTCAGCTCCATTGATTGTATTTTGTTTGTCACTCTCCAGTCCTTGGAATAGTTCTGGAGCATTATAGGAACAATTCATTGTACATGAATGGAACACAAAATGGATGGATAAAAGGAAGGAAGAAGTGATGAATAAAAGAAGGGAGAGAGAGAAGATGGATGAATAAGTGGAAAGAAGAAAAGATGTATAAAAAAAGAAGATAGAAGGAAGAAAAATGTATAAAATAGATGAAAGGATGAAAAGAGGAATGGGAGGAATGAAAGATGGATGGATAGATGGAAGAAAGGGAAGTATAGAGAGAGGATGCAAAGAAATATAGATGAAAGAAAGGGGGACAGAAGAAAGGATGGACAGAATGATACACAGAAGGAGGTATGAATCGGAAGAAACAAGAAAGGAAGCAATGAGATAGGAAGGAATGATGCATAAATGAATGATGAATAGATGAATTGATGGATGGATAAATAAATGATAGAAAAAAGTAATGGAAGGAGGAAGAAGAAAAGATGGAAAGACGAAAGTAAAGATGAAAAGGAAGGAAGGAGGAAGGAAGAAAGCATAGATAGATGGAAAGAAAGAAATAAGGAAAGTTGGACAGAAAGAAATTTGGAAGGAGTAGTGAACAGAATAGAGGAAGGGAGGGAAGTGGGGAGGTAAGCTTTTTTTCCCCAGAATTTTGTCTTAAACAAACATTTAGCCCCTGCATCACTTACATATTTTAGAGTCAAACCGTGGTGCTGCTGGTCTCATCTGCATATGTTCATTTATTCTACTTCTCTTGGGGTACACACAGGCCATCCAAACTATTGAGCACTGCACCAGAAGCATGAGTTTGAGCAAGAGCATAACAGGAGAGGTTATGAGCAAGAACTAGGGTCGAGACCAGAGTCTCCCTTCCTCCAGTCATGTGACTCTGAGCAGATGATCATTTCTGTGCTTCGATTTCCTCTTTTATTTAATGTGGATAATTCTAGTGCCCAGCTTATATTTATACATGTAAAAAGCTCCACCCATAGTAAGAAAGTATTTGCTTATTAATTTTATGTAATGAATCCTCACATAGAGTTTACTCTCTGCCTAGCACTGTGTTTAAGCATGTTACGAAAATTAACTTGTTTAAACCTCATAACAATCTTTGAAGTAGGAATCATTATTATCTCATCTTACAGATGAGTAAATTGAGGTGCAGAGAGGTTGATGATAGCTGCTAGAATTTTTTTAACCTTTCTTAAACCAATGCATGGAAGATTAGCATACTTGGTTGTAAAGGTAGGAGAGGATAGATAGATAGATGATAGATGATAGATAGATAGATATAGGTAGATAGATAGACAGATAAATAGATCTTCCTGTCCTTACAACTATGTATGCCAATCTTCCATGCAGTGATTCAAAAAGCCAGCAATCCTAACAGATATAGATATACATTTGGATATAGATCTATATCTTTCTATCTCTGGTACATTGTTTAGACATAAAAAGATATCTCTCTCCCTCTCTATTTATTGAAAAGAAGAGAGAGAGAGAGACTGAGGCACAGAGAGACAGAGAGAGAGAGCAGAAACAAAGATAGAGATGGGGAACTGATATCTGGGTTTTCAATTCCTCCATTAGTGTGGCAAGTTGGAGCCTTTCCTTTTGGGAACGTAGAAATCCACCAATGTTTTCACAGAGCCCTGACTCCTGCATCTGGGTAGAAATGGCCCATCTCAATGTCCTCAAATTATTAAGTTTTCTGTTACTTACTGCTGGGGTTGTCTCCATTAACAAGTGACACTCAGGCTTATTAGGAGGAAGACATGGGCCCTCCGAAGCCCCACTCTGAGGTAGACTTTGAGCCCCTGACCTCTCTGTGAGCCTTGACTCTCTTTGCACATACTATAGCTGTGGAAGTTAATGAGGAGCAATTTACACTTAATTTCACCATCAACAACCTGCGCTACTCAGCGGACATGGGCCGTCTGGGCTCCGTCAAGTTCAACATCACAGACACCCTCATGCGGCATCTGGTGAGAGGCCCGCTTAGCCCTCCCATCCCTTTGTGACACATCCTATGTATTGTTGCCTGCCTCTGACTACCACTAGCTCTCTCCTTTCTTTCCAGATCAGTCTGTTGTTCCGGAGGAGCAGCCTTGGTTCCCGATATGCAGGTTGCAAGGTCACCTCGCTAAGGTGAGAACACCCCCCACCATGACCCATCGCCAAAAGACATGGACTTCTGGCTGTCTTTTTTCAGCAATTTGTTCTTAGTCATTTTCTGCATTCATTTAAAAAAATATTACATTATTAATTTTTAAAATTGTGATAAAATACATACTGACGTGAACTTATTTATTTTAACCATTTTAAGTGTACAACTCAACGGCATCAATTACATGAACAATGTTGTGCAACCAACACCACTAACAAGTTCCACAACTTTTCATCACTCCAAGCAGAAACTCTGTACCCACTGGGCAATAATTCTCATGTCTCTAGGTCAGTTTGCATTCTGTTGGTATTTATGAAGCACTTCTCAATTCGTATTTATATTTAACTGACACTGATGTTGGTACAATTCCTCTGAGGCAGGTGGCAGGCACTACAGTGACAAGACTGGCACTTTCCTTGCCCTCATCTAGTGGAAAGAACAGACAATAAGCAGGAGAATAAATATTTAATTAAAGTGCTTTCAAATGTGATAAGGTGGTGTGAAGCATAAATAAGTAGAGAGTGATGGGAAGGGAGCTCTATCCAGGGGGACAGGGTAGCCTCTCTATGGAGGTGGCTTCTGAGCTGTGTTCCAATTGGCAAGAAAGATTTGGCCATAAAATTTGCTCCAGGCAGAGGGGACAGCATGTACAAAGGTCCTGTGGTAGAAATGAGTTTGTCACGTTCAATGAACAGCAAGGAGGCCAGTGTGGCTGGAGCAGAGAGAGAACGAGGGACAGAGAAGGAGGAGATGAGATGAGAGATATCATCAGAGTCTACACCATGTAGAGTTTTGAAGGAAGTTGATATTTTAAAAATCGTGGTGAAATACACATAACACAAACTTAACATCTGAACCATTTTTAAGTATACAGTTTGGTAGTATTACGTATATTCACATTGCTGTGGAATCAATCTTCAGAACTGCACAACTGAAACTCTATACTCACTAAACAACAACTCCCCATTGCTCTTTACCATCTTAGCACTCACCATTCTACTTCCTGTCTCTCTATGAACTTGACCGCTCTGAGTACTTCATATGAGTAAGATAATACAATATTTGTCTTTTTGTGACACTTATTTTGCTTACTATAGGTCCTCAAGTTTTGCCCATGTTCTAACATGTGTCAGAATTTTCTTCCTTTTTAAGGCTGAATAATATTCCATTGTATGTGTATATTGCATTTTGTTTATTAATTCATTGGATTTTTTTCATGGAGCAGGGAATGTGCTAAGTGCTAGATGTTCAACACAACAAAGTGAACCAGACTGTCCCATTTCCTGACCCCATGGAAGTCACTGTCTAGAGGAAATAGTGACAAATAATATATGCTCACATAGTGGGTGACCAAGGCTCTGATGGGTCTCTGACCCACTTGAGAGAGTACTTGGATGAGGGAGAGGTGTCTATTAGCTGAGACCTGAAAGAGGATCAGGAAATTGCCCAAGTAAAGAAAGAAAGGGAGAGACTTCCAGACAGAGGTCACAGCAAGTGCGAAGATCCGGGGTGAGGGAGTATGGCCAGGAAGAAAATCAGCAAAATGTTCAATGAGGCTGAAACACAGGATCTGAGGTGTGCAGTGACCACAGGTGGAGAGGTTTCAAATGGACTGCATTTCTCAAAGGTCAACCTCTTCTCCAGGTCTGTAAAGAATGGCGCCAAGACAGGGGTGGACTTCCTCTGCACCTACCGCCAGGCCCCCAGTGACCCAAGTCTGCCTGCCAAGCAGGTGTTCCATGAGCTGAGCTGGCAGACCCATGGCATCACCCGGCTGGGCCCCTACTCTCTGGATAAGGACAGCCTCTACCTCAATGGTGAGCGATTCTCAGCCTACCTCACTGGGGCTACCCTCTAACTCCAGCATGGTTTCCATTTGCCAGTTCTCTAGGGGAAAACTTGAGATACTCAGGTGTAAATCTCTATTCCACACAGACTCCCTTCCCTTCCAGCAACCCTGAAAGCTAATCCTTGATTAAACCCATTTTAAACCTGAATTAACTGAGACTTAGAAAGGTTGATTTGCCCAAGTGGATGTAGCTTGAGAGTGACAGAGCCAGGACATAATCCCCAGTTGTCAACATCTAACGCCATTCTAAGGGATACTTGGGGAAAGAAAATCCCACATCTCTCTCCCCTGCCTGCTTTCTTCTCACCCTTGCCCAGGGATAGTCTTCTCTCCTGGCTGTAGGTGAGATGTAAAAAAAGGAAGGCAAGCACTCTGAACATCTAGGGGGTCTGAGCTTTGGACACACTGGCCATCAGCTTAGATTCCAGGAAGAGACAGTGTTTAAGAAGGTGACCCTCATCTGGGTTCTGAGAGACAGCATGGCCATGGTAGGTTTATTGAAAAAAACTCAGCTTCCCTTTTTTCCACCTACAATCTAGAAATGGTACTCGACAACTCACACTTTCTTATCACCATTGACCCATCAAGTGGTCATGGAAACACTCCCATTTTTTATGACTTCCATTTTATCAAAGAAGGAGATTGAGGTACAGAGGAAGGAAGGCACCTGCCCACACCGAGAATAGGTTTGTAGCCAGTCTAGGTCTTGATGTCTTAAGTTCACATCTGTTCCATCTGTTCCCTTTGCCTTGGCCATCACAGGGACCAATTTAGGATTTCCCCCCCTTGAAAACTGCACAATTTACATGCTTCATTTTTTTTTTTTTCACAAACTCAGCATTTACCAAGCATCTACTATACACCAGGCCTTTTTGCCTGGCATCAGGGACACAGATAGGCTGCATATGCATCCTGTTCTAATGTAAGCTACACTGGCACAATGACCTTTTTGTTCAATGTATATTCCCCAAATGTAATAGAACTTGGAACATTGTAAGTCCTTAATAAATATTCATTGGATGAAAGGGTAGATTGGAGGAAAGGTGGGTGGAAGATGGTGGAGTAGATAAATATGTGGGGTGATAAATGTTTGAATATAAATGTGGTGAGAGTCTCTTCTTGGGGGCATGCTGGATAGGTGGATAAGAAAAGGTCATTCCTA